AATAACGGGTTTTTAGCCGCCACTAAATCGTTACCGCCGCTTTCAATTACTGATAAATTATCTGTGGAAGAACCTACTGTTTTGTACCCTATCTCCATTGTTGATGTCGAATCGCGTTTAAAAGCAGTTAAATCGAATAAAGCTCCTGGTCCAGACTCTCTGCCAAATTGGATTCTCAATAACTTTTCAATGGAGATTTCAGAACCTGTGACAATGATTTTTAATGCCTCCATTAAACAAGCACAAGTTCCAATGCAGTGGAAAGAAGCAAATGTCGTTCCCGTCCCTAAGACATCCTCGGTCACGGATATATCTTCAGACCTGCGACCTATATCTCTGACCGCTACGCTCTCAAAGGTTCTTGAATCATTTCCATTTCAATGGATTATGGATACCATTAAGTCTCAGTTGGACCGAAAGCAATTCGGATCGTTAAAAGGCTCTTCTACGATAGACGCATTAATTAGCATGTTCCACTGTTGGTATTCTAACACAGACGGCAATGGCGAGACTGTTCGTGTTTTTCTGCTTGACTTTAGTAAAGCATTCGACAGAATCAACCACAAAATCCTGATAAAAAAGATGCAATTACTAAATATTGATAAATCCTTAATAAACTGGGTTATTGATTTCCTGATGCAAAGAAGACAGAGGGTGAAATTGGGTTCTTCGTTCTCTGATTGGTCCTTGGTAAATGGAGGCGTCCCGCAAGGTACAATCCTTGGCCCATTACTCTTCCTCATCATGGTCAACGATTTGGCTATTAACCACAAAGATAGATGGAAATATGTTGACGACACTAGTCTCTCCGAAACAATCGGTAAAGGTTGTCAAAGTAACCTGCAATCCGTTATTAATAATATCGATTAATGGTGCACGGAAAATGATATGATGCTTAATCGTTCTAAATGCAAAGAGCTAATTATCTCGTTCGCTAAGGACGTCCCTAATCTTCGACCATTGTTTATTAAAGATCACTGTATGTCCCCAGTTTTATCAGCAAAGGTTCTTGGTCTGTACTTTTCTTCTGATCTTAGTTGGAACTTACATGTTGAACACATAGTATACAATGCATCAAAGAGACTTTTTTTTCTCCGAGTGCTTAAACACAGCGGTCTTGGAGGGAGTTCTCTAATTCAAGTCTTTACCACATGTATACGACCTGTGCTTGAATATGCATGCCAGGTTTGGAACTTAAACTCCCCTGACTATTTAAAGGAAGAAATCGAAAGAATTCAGAAGCGAGCCCTACGAATAATATGTCCTGACCTGTCATACCGCAAAGCCTTGGAAGTTCATGAAATATCGTTGCTCTCTCAAAGACGAAATAATTTATGTAAATCCTATTTTAAGAAACTTCTCAACCCGGAAAATAAATTGAATGAACTTATCCCTAATAAACGCGAGGACTTACGTACTTACAATCTACGTAATGATCAGCATATTAACTTAATTAATTGTAAGACTACAAGATTTAGTAAAAGTTTTATTCCTTCTAGTATCGTATCATATAATGATTCATTTTAATTGTAATATAAATTTTAGTTTTAATATACCGTATATTACTATATGTATTAGTTTTATCATGTATTTTAAATGTCAACTCTGTACAATTCAGCTCTTAGCTGCCATTCAGATTTTGTAATAAATTCAATTCAATTCAATTCAATTCATTCTAATACGTACATTTCACGAAGTGCTCGGAATGTGTTTACTTCATTTACTGTTCAGTTCTCGCACAGAATATTATGCGGAATTGGAAAAATTAAATCGCATCTGGGTCAAAGAACAATTTCCTTGTCGCCGATTTCAATGTAAATCACGTTTTATTCAAACTACTTGAAAAAATAACAGGAAAAAAGTTCTGAGGCAATCAACTAAATAAACGTTCAATAAATTGACTTAAGATAAATGTTTAAGATATTACTCGTAGTCTGTCTCCAATCTGGACAGTCTAAATGCTGCACGTATATAGCAATTTAACGAGCAAATATGTAACCCACAGCTTTGACTTCCTTGTTACCGTTATCAGCCGAACAATAAGCGCTATTGCCACAACTGTTGACTATGTTTCGTATTCCGCAGTATCTGCGCTGATTCGTGTCAATTGCGCCAAATCCGATAAAGGAGTCTGCAGATCGACAATGAATCTGGTTATTTCCGATAATGCCGATTCTTACTCTAGTGTGATGTTTGTCTTCAGAAGCAGCATTGAACCCTTGTCGACCACAGGTTGCTTTAAGGGAAGAACCAAGAATTAGAGATTTCCAAGTGTTGCGAGGAATGACTGTTGAATGGAATTTACCGCCTGCGATGATGTCATACAAGGAATTCGCTGTGTGGCTAACTGGAATGAACTTAACTGAATTTTTAACTTTCATTCCCACACAAAGTTGCTTAAATGGTGTGCTCCAGTAAGTGGGCAGTTTCGTCTCCTTCTTATCTAGTCCAGTTGTCCCATCATTTGGCGAGTAACTTATCATATTACTCCAGTAAGCAGAAGAATAGGAAAATGTTTCCTGCAAAATAATTAAAGTGCCCCTGACACAAAAATTGATATTTTGTGTATTGAAAGTACACATTGTGTGGAGTGTTTTGGTGAAAGAATTTTTTGATTTCATTAAAAAGGAAAATTTTTAGAGCAGTTTAAACACATAAATTTTTGGCACATGGACGTCGGCTACAGGAGTCTGGGGATAGCATTTTTTGTGACGTCATGCAAGTGAGTCAAATCTTGACGGTCTGTTAGACTTTTATCAGTTTTGATCAGCTCAAAGGTTTTGATCGCTGAACTGCTGAAGTGTTTTTATATTCTAAATTCTATCATGGTTCTATAAAGTATCATGTCGACAACAGAATCCGACAGTAGCGATCAGTCCGATGATTCCAGTGCGAATTTTATACCTGGTTAATATATGTTGTGTTGGAAGATGCTGATCACGAAAAACTGCCGCTATTATCACAATTTCACTTCACGAGTAAAACTATGGATTGTTGTTGGTAAACAAAGCTAGGGGACACGAGAAAAATAAAATAAAACTAGTCTCCCATTATTAGCGACTGTTTTTAGTCTGCGTCTCAGATTTGGCGCATCTTGCCTGGCCCTCTGCTAACGTAGACGTTCTATGGCTTTGCAAAGTTTATATCTCCGGTTCGGTGCATGCTATGAAGACAAAAATACTACGACTCGTTTCAGTGAAACAAAATCTCCTAATTCCCAGCGATAGTTTTAGACTTTTAGTCAGATACAGGCTATAGTTTTAGTCAGATGGTATAGCTATTTATGACCTTTGTCTTTGACTTTGATAGGTCAAGCGGTGTCATAATTCATTATATTACTCAATTTATAGTCTCGAACAATGTAAACTAGTCATATCTTTTGCCGAACATAAATTCGGCCCCTTTGGAAATATCTTTTTCGTAATAGTCTTATTCGAACCGGAATCGAAAACACTATTTAGAGTGTTATTTTCAAGCTTGTGTCTTCAGATTTGCATCTTTCATTTCGGGTATTACAAAATATTTATATTATTAGCGGGCCCGTAAAACCGAAATTGAATCATCAAAACAAAGCAAATTATCGTCAGTCTTTAATAGCTTCGGATAGTTAGGCTTGCCGAGCCCCGTCAACGAAAGACACGAAAAGAATCGCCTCTCGTAATCCTCTGGTCAAAAATGATCCGAGCATATAGTCGAGTCTAGCTTTGACCTGTGCTTTGACGGCACAAACAAACCCATACTTTTCTTCGTCTTTTAGCTTCCGCGCGTTCGTTATTGAAGTATGGAATATTGTGTAAACTTATTCCATCTTTTAAACATGGTTTATTGGTACAGTTAGCTGCAACATAGTAAAAAGGCATATATTTTTTATCACAAATCTAGTATATTTGTATATGGACTATATGCGCCAAGAGTTAGTACCAGTCGAATAAATTATAGAATACCCCGACTCACTTGCGTGACGTAACAAAAATCGCTCGTTCCAGTTTCCTTCGAACACGGACGCGTGCCAACAAAAAGCCCACATTTTGCGTGTTCAAACGGCTCTAAAAAATTTTCGTTTCAATGAAATAAAAAAATTCTTTCACCAAAACACTCCACATAATGTGTACTTTCAATACACAAAAAATCAATTTTTGTGTCAGGGGCACTTTAATAATAGCGGTTGAACTGGGTGGAGTGCAATTTGGTCTGAAATCAGATACGCGACTACACGGCCGCAAAGAGTGAGTGCAAAGAGTGAGTGCAATATATAATCATGAGTTTCATTTCAGACCAAGATTTCACAACACCAAGTTCAATTTCCTTTCTATTCTGGACATTTCGAAATCTAAAACATTTCTGAAAAGCGGAAATTGGTCTACAAAACAGGAAGAGAATAAGCTGAAAGTTTTACCACGAAAAAACGAGCGAATGCATGGATCGATCATGAAGTTTAAAATTCAAGCAATGTAAGTTCACTTAAAACATATTATATAGCTTTCTTGGCAATTTGGTGTGGTTTTCGTCTGTTTGTTTTTTTCATTCAAACATAAGAAAAGATCAATATGCTTTAAGGCAATCCGGAAAATAGCAATCTGGAAAATGGCACGAAATTTGTTTATATTGCTCAATTTGCCAGATCACATTTGTTACTTTGTTTGAATGAATTATAACGCTTAACAATGTTCCATAACTGGTAAGTGTATACATATATGGTTAATTCTGAAGTTAAACAACATGGAGGAACGTGAATAGCAATAACGTTAACGTAACATCTCTGGGACTGAGGCTGGTAAACAAAAGAATAAAGTGATTCTTAGTGCACATGTCGAGGGTGCTCTGCGGTTTACAAGCTGTGCCGGAAAACGAAAACTTCATGTAGCAATTATTTTACTTCCTTATTTTGCTACTATCCTCATAGTACAGTGAAAAAGGACTACCTCAACAATTAATCAAAATTAAAGCCAATTTCAACATCTTAGTTCCGGGGTCCCAAAGGCGTGAAATTAATATTGCAACAGTATTGCAAAGCAGTGAAATCAATATTGCAACATGTTGTTTTGAAGGTTGCTTTTCGCCAGTACGAAAGACTTTCGATACCTCAACCATCTTATTTGGAAGATGCTGTAAAGAATGCGAATTGCTATTGGTTTGAATAAACAATTGTGCTTGAGGGGTTTTTTTCAAAATATTGGCTTTTATGCATGGCACAGAAATTTCGGTTTTTCAAAGTGAAATTAATATACAAACAACCAAACAATCAATCATGCTAAAGATCAAATTAAACAAAATTAAACGGTAATCAAATTTGTGATGATATTTACAGAACGTTTTTATTTTGTTTTTTGGTAAAAGCATAGATTAAAATGGACAGCAATGTTTATGAAAAAATATAACCGTTTGTCTGTATGCTTTGGTAAACAATTCAATGTAGAATTTACAAGTAGAAATGCTGCCGACTAGGAATAGACCTATTACCTGATAACCAAAATTTTTATCTAGACAAAATTTTTACCATAGCTCGAAAGAGCATTACACAAATAGTAATATTGCCAAGTTTCGTTGCCGAATGTTGTAAAATGCAGATAATATAGCCCTGCGAATTTTGCCGTTTTTCAGTCATTTTGTATTACGCACGGGAAATTGATACCGCTTTCTGAAAAAAGGTATCAATTTCCTGCACGTAATACAAAATGACTGAAAAACGGCAAACTTCGCAGTGCTATATTATCCGCATTTTACAACATTTCGCAACGACCAAACGTCGGAATATTACTAATTTTGTGATGCTCTTTCAAGCTGTGATGAATTTCGTGTCGTGTCCCCCCCCCCAACAACCACCCCCCCCTTTTCTTTAGGGAAGAAGTGCCTTTTTTCTGGGCTAAAAAGCTCCATTAAAAGAACGAAAAAAGTATTTTTTGAATGAACGCCCTCTTTTGCTGGAAAGAAAGTTTCCTTTACGCAGTAGTAAAGACTTTGTAAAGGCCATTCCCCACGTTATATATAAAGACTCGATATGTTCAAAAAATTTCAATGCCCCTCCACTTTCGAAATAATGTACCGTAACCATAAGATTGGATAACATTCTACCAAACATCTAAATGCATATGAGTAAAGTGATTGTCAGTCGGCAAAAATGGAATGTCAGGAAAGGTAACTGCCAGTTCGACCGGTTCTTGAAATAAAAAATAGTAATGAGGGCTAAAACAGAATAGTAAGAGAGGTAAAACTTCGTTGAATTCAACGACTTCTGTTCTTCAATATTTTATAAAATGCCAGATCAAGAACTATTATTCATTCAATATAAAATTGAATCAATTGAAGCAAGACAACGAAAATTTAACTAATATTTTGCACCATGAATAGGCGTCCTGACTCCTAAAATAATCATCTAAGAAAATTTGTCAACCTTGTTTCCATCGATTTTCATCACCATTGTCCATCCACCTCCGGAGCAGCCTGGTAATGTTGTCATATGACAACACACGTTGCTGTAATGTCCAGATGTTTTCGTTTTGATCCGATAGACACCATTTTCAGCTAAACTGGAAAGAAAGATAAAATTAATCACATGTCATTTAATGATGTTTCTTTATGGTTAGGACAGCGAGAACGACCCAGTGCCGTGGTACTGGCTGATGTTTATTCTCTTGGCGAAGGACTCGAGTCACTGATGAGATATATAATTATGCACGCGATAGAAACTCTGCTATTTTCGTTTCGTTTACGTGTATGTGCATAAATAAGTTTTTCTTCCTTCAACTAACATGTCTGAGACTAATTTAACTATACTACCTTAAAAATGGTAAGCCTGAATTTACAGCATTCAAACCAATTACTGTAACCCATGTTTCCTTTTTATTTTCATCTCATGTGCATGGCCAGAAATCTACTAGCTTGGATAAGAATATTAAAATAGCCACACCAGTAATTTCATATTCATTTGCTCACATATTTAATCAATCAATTACAAGTAATAAATGGAAGATTACAGGAGTAAATCTCCTTTTTAAGATTGACAAGCTTACTTTATAATTTCATTGAACTGAGTGGAGTGTAATTTGCACTGAAATCAAACGCGTGATTAACAAATCGCACAACCGCGAAGCGGTAGTGCGATTTGTAATCACAAATATTATTTCATTCCAAAATTTCACGACACGAAGTTCGATTTCCACTTTATTATGTTCACTTTGAAATCTTAAACACTTTTGTATATAGATTGGAAACATTTTTGTTTGCAAAAAACACACTTCCGTTACCTCCCTGAGTGCTGTAGCATATAGCGGCAAAGTTTAGGTTAGTTTTGTCAAATTTGTATTTTATACGAGAAAATATGGAGATAGCGTAGCCAGGTATAGACTTAATTAAAATAATAATGACTAAGATTTTTATGTAAACGAGCTTTCGACTGCCTTACTATAGTCTTCGACGGTTCAAAGCGGAATGAATGAATTACAAGCGTGCAAATTAAGTGATATACAGCTATTTCAATTAAGGTTGTCCACGAACAAAGCGGAAAAAACGAATACGAGCGCGAAAGGCTGCATGCCGGGAATCCCGAAAAAAATAATGAATTTTCATAGCGATTCCCAGCAGCCTTTCGCGCTTGTATTCGACTTTTCCGCTTTGCTCGGGGTCAACTTTAATTGAAATAGCTGTATATAAAAGGAAGTGATTAGTAAGATAATTGTAGCATCTAGCGTTGACATTTTTTATTAATTAACTACGCACATAGTATATTGTTTAGGAAGCGGTTTAGAATTATTGTCAAAATTTGTTATTATACCAGTATGCCAAGATTCTAATGTTTTGCGTGTCCGATAGTTGACTCTATCGATTACTTTCCCATTCTCAAAGTTAATTGTATGGTCCAAACATGCATGGGATATGGACCATACAATTGACTTTCAGAATGGGAAAGTAATTAATAGTGGCAACTATCGGACACGAAAACATTACAATCTTAAGATACTGCTATAATAAAAAAATTCTGACAATACGATTTTTTAATTAAAAATGATGCGATTACTACTCATGCTGATGCGAGCAAAGCTCAAAATAGTGCGATTACAGGTCTAAAATAGTGCGATGTGTTCTTAATTAGCCTACTATTATTTGTGAAATTTAAAAGAATTAAAATTCTTGCAATCATTTGATAGCTTACTGTAGCTATCCATAACTTTGTTTTCATTTTCAAAAAAATTGCTTAGGCACCAACAGAATCATGACATATGTAAATTTTTGAACCTGCTGAAATCGCACTGCTAAGAGCCAATTAGATTGCAGGAAACACCATTGATTTCAAAATGAATATAATAAACAAGGAAATTATCGATTACCAATCACTGTCCTGCTTGGCGTCAATGAACTTATGGAATTATTTTAATCTATTTACTCAACTGTACCAGTATTTGTCAATAACAACCTACATTCTGAACATCAATTAGATTTCTGATTTTTACTCAATTGTATCAACTTAACTTGATTTTACAAATAATCGGTACATAGATTGAATCGAAAATTTTCTAATTTTGTAGTATTCATAGGTTTAGAAAATGCTTTTAGAAATGTTAACCATGAAGTCGTTAAAATGATCTTTCTGAATACTTTCAACTATGAAAATACCAATTACTGAAATATTACATTTAGCAATGTTATTTAGCTTTTTAGAACTTTAAATAAATGATTAATTTAACATTCGACGCTTCATTTAACGTTTAGATATATTAAAAGAAGAGCGTTTTCTTAATTCGCCAATACACTTTTATAGTAGAACACAATATGATTAAAATACAAAAGAACAGTAACTCCGAATAACATTTTGTTTTGATTTATTGAATCATGATCGTTTAGTAAAAATACTCGTGTTCACCGTTCAATTTTAGGGATTTTGTTGATGTGAAAATATTAAATTTTATATTATTAAATATTAAAAATATTCCTATTCCTATCGGGATTCACCTTCTGGACGAGCTGGATCTATAGACGACTTATATACAGCAAATTTTGCCTAAATTAATTCGATTAACTTTATTGGTCAATTTTTAAAATTTTGTAACTTGTTTTCCAATTTGCCATGATATATTACTAATGTTGACTATCTTTGCCAACTGCTCACAAAAATTTGAAACATGGGGGAAAATTTTATTTCGTCTTTCAAATATCATGTCGTCTTGGGGTACTTGCACACCATAAATATTTGGTCAAGTCAGTAATTTCACGATTTCAAAATTTACGCTGGGCGTATTTGCTGCGTTTCGATATGTTTTGTCTAGATCTATGGCTGGTCATGTTGGGCTCATAAAAATCAAGCTATTCTAAAATGAATATAATTGTAAAATTAAACCGTCCTAGGTTAGCGGTCAATGGTGTATGTTTTTGTTTTACTATCATGTTGAAACATAGACAGGGGCGCTGAAGTTTGCTCGTTTTCGGGTTGGACAGAAATGGTTGTGTGTACGTGTTGTTTGATTGTGTAATTATTGGCGAAGCTAAATAAATAAATAAATAAGTGCATGCTTGCAATATACATTTACTAACAATCGTACCAACTATGAAGATGTTTCCTTACTGTCGCGCGCGAATACAAGCATAGCAGCAATAAACATCGCTTGCGTACTATTGTTGCATGAGTTAAGATTGAAAGTATGTGTATTTCTAGTCTACAGGATGGCTAAAATAAACTGGACGACCTCCTTTCCTTGTGCTTTTTCCGGTATTAGTTTACCCATTTAAAACTCCTCCTGTGAGAGTCTGGTGATGATTTTATAAAGTCCAAACACTGTCATATTTTGGCTACCTCTTTCGGGAATGAAATTAAATAGCCTATTCAACACACGCGTGAGTGAATAACTTTTGACAATAATTTCCATCATTTTAGACAATGCTGTTAAAGTCATTAAAATTCCTTCAAAACTGTTTTTATATCATCAAAAGATGCCCTTTAGAGTTTTGTGAAAAGTGCGAGCATTTTCTACATTGCTAGATTGTGTTTTAGTTGCACATACATGTATGTGATGCGTACATCATAGGTTATTTTGATTCGCGACTCGTTAGTGGAAAGCAAATATAAAAACGCGGTTTCATGCTTTATAGTGTGAACACAAAATGTGCAATGAGGCTTGCTAATAGTCGGGAAATCGCGGTGAATGCCGACGATGTCCGGTTTCGATACGAGTGTAACCGGAACGCGTTCCGCAGATGCGTTCCGGTAACAGTGGAATGCAAATGGAACGCAAATGGAACGCAATTGGAACGCGAATGGAATGCGAATGGAACGCGAATAGAACTCGAATGGAACGCAAATAGAACGCAAATGGAACGCATTTAGGAACGCGTTCCGGACGAGTTCGGGACGCGTTCCGAACGCGTTTTCTGTTAGGTTATTTCTGAGCAGTACTGTATAAACACCTCCACCATTTCTGCCATTAAGCTTACGATCTTGTCTAACAACATCATAGCCTAAAAGGTAAATTTCACTAATGCTAATAGAATAATCTAACTTTCTGGTTTCATTAATGGGTAAAACATAAATGGATAAAATTAGATTTCTCCATAAATATTTTTAATTCATTAATGCGGCCTAACAAACTTTGCATATTCAAACATGCAATTGTGAGACCATGACTGAATAAAATAGAATGAAAGCATTCTAAATTAGTAGAACGAATTGCGGGTAAAGAGCTGACCGACTCCCGATCGGCAATTTCGTAACAAGAACCAATAGGCTACAGTTAGAAATCATTTTTGCTACAACTGACGTTCCTTTGCAATTAAGGTGCAAGCCTGGTGTATTGAGGCACGACGATAAAGATTACCTTAGCTAGAGTTCAATTTTATACGTTTTCGTTTACTGCGTCGACAATATATTAAAATGGCTTATACACAATTCCAGGCACGCCACAAGAAGAAATGATTAAATCAATTTTAAAGAAACGTTCTGATTTCAGAATTTTATAGTTTTACCATACACCATAAATTATTGATGTGGGGAAAACATTAGCGACTACTATGCTGTTATTAGACAAGAGATTTACACATCACATTTTAGGACGAAATCAGAAATAAATTACTCCGACAAGGGAGAGTGTTGAAGTTTTTAACAATCATTTTACAAACATAGGTGCTAAACATTCCCAAACGATTGAACATGATAATGATCGTAGTTTTCGAGATTTCATTGCTCAACGGGAATCCGTCGCTGGTTGTTCTATTCAACCTGTCCAGTAAATGTGGCAACGGTTTATAACCGAATTATCTACCTCATAAACTACATGCAGGTATTGATAAATTAAATTTCAGTTAAAATTGTTCACGTGGGAGCTCGTGCTATTGTACAATCTCTGACCAAAATTGTTAACATGTCAATCGTCTCAGATCAGTTTCCATCAGAATGGAAAGCTGAAAGGTTAATTCCACTATTTAAGAAATTTAGGTCAACGGTCTATGTTGGACAATTATAAGCCAATTTCAATTCTATCAATGGTTAGCAAACTGATGGAAAGGGTTTTGTATGATCAAATATTTGACTATTAATTTTGTGAAAAAGAACTTTCAATTCAAACATCAGTTTCGTTTTAGTTTAGTTCCCTTCTACAACTAGTACACTGTTAGATTGCACAAATGAATGGCATGTCTACATGAACCGCAGTTCATGATAAAAAACTGCAGTCTTTACAACATGGTTGTTTTTCTTGATTTGAAGAAAGCATTCGATACTGTCAATCACGAATTACTCTTGCGTAAGTTTCAAGAGTATGGGTTTGGAAAAGAAGCATGTACACGCTATTAGGTTCTTATCTGATACACCGAACCAAAGCTGTCAGTTACAAGGAATGCTTTCAGTTCAGAGAAAACCAAAAATTTGTTGCACAGGGAAGTACTGTATACTTGGCCCTCTTCTGTTCATCATCTATATTATTGAATTTCCAAATTGTCTGAAACACCCAAAATCTAGAATGTTTGAAAATGATACCAGCCTTCCAGCTGTGGGTGAAACAATGGATTAACTATGGAGCAGAGGTTAAATGAAGACCTAATGAA